ATTGTCTGCCCATTGCTCTGAAAGAGCTCTCTTGGCATTGAACCCAGAATAAAGACTAGCAAAACAGAGATGAAACATTTAGCCTCATGCTCTTATAACTTCGGTCTGTTTTTTACCTTGTTAGGATAAAACTTCTAATCTGATGATCTAAAAATAATAAGCTTTTTGGAAATAACACGTAGAATAAGAAATGAAAATTTGTAAGGGAATCAGCAGTAACATGCAGACACAAGCAATGAAATGGCATGTCCTGAGCAGACCTCCATGAGGGGAGATAGCAACGTATTACAAGGGATTCTGACTAGGGCCATAAATAAACATAATGCAGACAATATTGAACATGTCTCCTAAGTGGATTAGTCTGGAAATCTGGAAGTACATCTTCTTTGGATGTGAGGAAATGTCACACTTGAAATACAAGATTTTTTTTTTATATCAAACTACAGAAATACATAAATCAAAACTGTTAAAGTATAGTGGACTGAACTGAAAATATCCGTATAATTGCATTCATTAGAGGACATCTATACCAGCACAGTAGAATTACTTTTGTCAAGCCATTTCATTGCTTTTATAGGCAATATTTTTTTATCATTATTTTTGAACGGAGAAGTGAATTGTCTTTGCCCATCGGAAAGATTTCCCTTCACTTCCTGTTCCAGATACACAAAGAAATTGAGAGGAAATGTGGCAAACAAAGTGAGAGGACTTCTCAGGCAAAATTGCAAAATTGACCCATTTTAGCTTATTCTACCTTTTCTGTCTCTGTAACAATGATCACCTGGACAATCAGACTAACTTGGAAAGAGACACCAATACAAATCCTGACAGGGGTTCTAACCATCTCCTCTTCCCCCACACACAAATAACTATGCAAGATGTCAAAGTAGTAGAAGACCCTCTGCATTGCCAGGCAAATATAGGCCCTAAAGAGAGCACAAAATGTAAGGAGTTGCCCAGTGTACATTACAGCACCCCTCGAGGAGTCATGGGCTTTTGTTGTGGGTGGATCCCAGGTTGGGGTGCTCAGATACACTTGCATTTGCAAGAGCTGATTGAAATGAGACAAGGTACAGAACCGTAGGGGCAAGACTTAGATCAAGCAAGAGGTCAGCAGTGGCAGCAAACAGAGGTCTTTAAAAAACAGACAGAGGACATATACTGGCTTCAGACACTGGCCCAGCAGAATGGTAACAGAATAACAGAAATGCCATTACCTAAACATTTCTCCCATTGAGCACCCCCCTTGTATTGAAGGAATAAAAAAAACAGATAACCATGTCTTGTCAGGTCACCAGAGCATGTTGCACATGGACCACTGATAAAAAGATTTTTTATTATGTAAAGAAACAATAATATACTTTGATTTTGCATCTCAATTACATTTCCATTGGGTATTTAAGGGTGAAATTATTTAGTTCATCAAATATTTTTTATGAATCAGCAAAATGTTGAACATGTAATTCTTACTCTTACCACAATCCTTTCTAGCTCCTCTAACCCTGTAATTCAGGTCATGCTCTAGGTATAGAAATATAGAATGAGGATCGGTTCAGCTTTGGAAGGACTCGCCTGCCAAAGGTTTGAATGGTAAAACTAAGAGGGCACCAGAAATGGCAAAAAAATAGGGAGTTAAAGAAATGTAATCTTAAATGATTGCTTCTCTATGATTTAATGGAACAGATAACCATTGTTGGATGAATCAATAAATATGACCTCAGCACACTATAATATGTACTTAGCTTAAAGTGTATGTTTGGTCAAAATGTACAATCATATGTTTATTTCCAGCCCTCTTCTATTAATCTAAATTATCTTGAAGTTTGTAAATGTACTTTGTGAAGATACCCAACATTTACTTGAATTCTACAACGCATATTTCCTATGCACTGTGCGTAGTCCTGGCTATGTCACGTATTTTGTAGAATCTGCCTTCTGAACTATAGAGGTGCTGGGAGGAGGAGTTTCAGGAGGTGGAGTCAGTACAGGAATCATTGCTTGCAGGCAACAAAGTACCATGGGATATGTAGTCCTTAGAAATTGAGACTAAACAGCAGAAGAGAAGCTGCAAATCTTGCAGGGAATACAGAAAAATGTGGAAAGTGATGAACAGACAGGAAGCACTCACAACATGATAGGAGATTTTTATTGTCAAAAATAACTAATGGTTGCATTCCTATTACAATGCTGATGTTATACAATGAAAGTGTATGCTGGGACTACAGAACTCCTTTAAATAATTTTTTAGGGCATGACAATGTTTTTAGTGATTTGTGGACTGACTAATAAAGCCCAGTTCTTGTATCACAGGATGGCAATTGCCAAGTATATTCCTTGTTTAAGACCAATCCTCAGAGTGACTCGCAAAGATTCCAGAAGCTATAGCAGCTATCCATCTTCTCGCCGCTCCACTGTTACAAGTCATTGCAGTCAATCTTCTGACATATGTGGGCACCCCAGACTGAAAGGACCTGTTCCTTCTGTCTCAGATAGTGAATCGGTAAGCATGATTTTACCTATTTAACCTCTCCAATCAGCTCCTATTTCTCAGCTCTGACTTTTAAAGCATGTCACATTATAATCAATAATTATTTAACTATATATCAGGAGTGTGCTTCTTAAATAAGATTGTATGTACTGTACAGTTGATATATCACCTTACCTCCTCACCTATGATAAATTTGTCAACTTACACAAATTAACTTGTTTTCCACATTTAAGCTTTTAAGATGAGGTAAACCTTACATGGTTATGCAAAATTTTATTTTTTTTTGCTGTGAGCATTGGAAATCTAGAGGTACTCAGGTCAAGCAAAATAAGTTTCTAATAGACTTTTGTCAATGACCAACTGGATCAAGGCACTGCATATTGTAATGTCACACAGTGGGGCTGATTTACTAAAACTGGAGAATAAAAAATCTGGTGCAGCTGAACATGGTAGCCAATTGGCTTCTAACTTCAGATTGTTCAGTTAAGCTTTGACCAAAAAAATCTGGAAACTGATTGTTTCTATGTAGTGGTGCCCCAGTTTTAGTAAAGCAAACCCATCCCTGCTAGGCAATAGCAAAATATTGGGATAATTTTCGAAAACTAAAGCAGGCCATACACTAGTAGATTTTTTACCAAATGTTTGTATGAAGAATGAAAATTGATGCAAAAATTCTCAGTACATTTGATGAATGTTGTTCAAAAGCACTTTAAGATTTATTATGCTTTTACAGTGGATTTTGGAGTGAATGGATTGTCTTGAAAGGAAAACAACATTCACTGTTAGCAATTCAGTTCAAAAAATATTTTCATCCTGCTTCTCTGAATGTTCTTTAGAAACAAATGTTGATTTGACCTCATTAACAATAACAGAAAATGAAAATTCTTAAAACAAAAAATTTCAAACAAAATATGGCCAGCTTAAGATATAGATATTCTATTTCATATCGTTGGAATGTGTAATGATTGGTAGTATTTTTTTGTGAAAATTCTTAAAGCTTTTATAGTTGACTGTCAAGCTAATAAATTGAAAGTACTTGAGGTTTATATAACAACATAACACAGGCTGCATTCATTGAGGAGGTGACCCCAGATCCAAAAGGCCCCCAACCAAATGTGGTGATCAATAACAGTCCAGGTAATGCAAGATAGAGGAAAACTGTCATTTCTAGATGCCTATAAATGATCTGCATAAGTTCTTGCAGCTCTAAGTACCATATAGTATATCAGACAGGTACTAAAAACTGTGACAAAAAAAAAATCAAAGTGGACTAAATGCAAATAGAACTTAAAAAATTTATAATAATAAATAATTAACTGGAATTCCACTCACAAAAGATATGTGAGCCAAGCAAAGGGTGTATGTAAATCAGTTTTTCGTTGACAATTGTTTTTTTGATGTAGATGTAACAAAATTGTATTTATTGTATTTATTTTGTCAATAAAATAGAATTGCATTCAATATTCATGTGTGGGACTATCATAAATGGCTGTACTTGCTGGGTGTATGAAAACAAAAACTCCTTCATTAATAACATGAGTGCAAGCTGTTTATTTACATACACCCAGCAAGTACAGCCATTTATGATAGGCCCACACATGCATAGTGAATGCAGTTCTATTTTATTGACAGAATAGATACAATTTTGTTGCACCTACCCCAAAAAACCTATTTTTACCGAATATCTAATATATGCTTACATGATTTGATTGACAGTGGAAGTCAATGGCTCCCACTGCTACATCCATGTCCAGTAAGAGGAGAGAGAGCAGTGATGCTGCTCTTGGGCACAGTGCTGGATCAAGATTGGGCTCACGTAAGTATTTTGAGGGCTAATATTGAAAGGTTTTTTTACCTTAATGCAGAGAATGTAAAAAAAAAGTTTGTCTTTAGAACCACTTTACCTCCGAAAAGTACTTCCCATTGCTCTCAGCTTTCACCAAACCTCCAAGTTAAATTTTTTGCTGCTGTGATCTGACTGTTAGAGGGTGGCTAAGTTTTTTCTCTATGGTCCCACTGCAAGGTGGATAAAAATCGATGATTTTAAGAAAAAAAAAAAGTCAGATTTAATTTTAAATTGGATATTTTATATTTAAATCTGATTTTTTTTTTATCAAATTTATTTTAATAAAATGATTTGGAGTAAAAATCTGTCTATCTAAAGATAGTTTTCTATTTAAGATACATTGATAATTTAGTTTATTCAGCATGAAATGGAACTTAGTTATGCAGCATGAGGCTGTATATTCTGCAATATTTACATTTTTTGGTAAACTCATTCAATGAATCCAAGCTCTGCTAGCTGAGATAACATGCACTGCATTGATGCATTCACACAATTTCACAGGAACCGTGAGAAAAAACATGAAATAAAAGAATTTGAGTAGTTCTCTAACTATGTGTGATTAACCTATTAACCTAAAATCTGTTCTGATATCGCTGTTTAAGTCCTCATGCACACGACGTGACATTTTTACAGCTGCTGTGTTTGGCTTTTGATGTTTTTTTTTCTACAGCTAGTAAACCCCCCAGCATGTTTCCTATGTGTCCATGCACACAGACTATAATCAACGTTTTTTGGCTGGGACATTTTTTTGCTGGAAAAAAAAAACCCAGGATTAATGGGTTTCTAGAGGAGTTTTTTAGCTGTAAAAAATGCTCTAATGCTGAAAAACGCTACAAACCAGCGTTTTGGACTTTTTTTGACCAAAAAAAAAACGCTACAAAAACGCAAACATGGAAAAACGCTAATGCAAAGGTGCTAAAAAAACTCATGTTTTTAACGCGACTTTACACAGCTAACATTACCAGCGTTATCAAAACATCCAGTGTGCATGAGGACTTGCTAACCTGACAGCTTATTATTCTAAATAGGAAACCTTCATTTGGTTTGCAAATATTAAAGATTCTAGCTACCAGCAAGACTGAGTCAGATTCCTTACATTTAAAGAGGACCTGTTATTTTAGATCCACTCACCTGCTGCCTCTTCCCTCACCTTGTTGTGTCACTGCTGCATCACCAGCTGTCCCATTAAAGTGAATGGGACTGTCGGTGAGTCAACAGCGGGGCAGAAGAGGAGTCGCCGCTGCAGGACAGAGATGACAGTTGCTCTTTAAAAATTATGATTTAAATCAAGCCTTTTCACTAGTGATTTAATTCATTTATTTATATAAAATCATGATTTAAATTATACAAATTTATATACCCAAAGGGTTTGCTCAACGCTGTACAAAAAGCGAGGGGGACATATAGCCACCCTCTCTTGCTTAACTATGGACTTTGGACTATGAGACTTGTAGTGCACATAGAGCAATGTACATGACCTCAACTAATGTGCACTGCTCATTCCAAACAAAAAAGTGAGAGGAAAAAGGAGAGGTTCAGGGTCTGACAGGAAACATTACAAGGAGTAGAAAAACATAGCAGGAAGCTATTTCATGATTGATAGATTACAGGGCCATTAAGTAGTGGAAGTGTATAGATAATTTTTAGAGAGAAGGGATATAATTTAGTGTCACTTTAAAAAAATATCTTCTGGGTGTATTTCTGGTTTCCTAATGCTGGGTTTTAGAAGTACTGATTAGCGTTTTGCAGGATACTTTGCTGGCACTGATTGTCACAGCTCACCTCTTGTACCAATAATCAGTGGAGTTTTCATTGAAATAAAGCTTTTGAGTGCTGTTGCACATTGTGGAAACAACTAAGGTAATGTAGTATGAAGCTACTTGTAGGCAGTATAATAGTAATTACATGCTGTAAATGTCCACCATGATTAATTGCATAATTTAATCACACTAGAACTAGCAAAGAATAGACTTACTGTTTTGTATTAAAATGTGTTTTTAAAAAGAAAGAAACCTTCAACTACAGCCCTGGCCAAAAGTTTTGAGAATGACCCAAATATTAATTTACCTGCAAGGAAACATGTGCAGTCATCATAGCTTTGCACAAAAAGGGATTCACAGGAAAGGATATTGCTGCTACTAAGATTGCACCTAAATCAGCCATTTATCAGATATCAAAAACTTCAAGGAGAGAGGTTCAATTGTTGTGAAGAAGGCTTCAGGGCGCCCAAAAAAGTCCAGCAAATGCCAGGAATGTCTGCTAAAGTTGATTCAGCTGTGGAATCGGGCAACACCAGTGCTGAGCTTGCTCTGGAATGGCAGCAGGCAGGTGTGATGCATCTGCAAGCACATAGAGGCAAAGACTTTTGGAGGATGGCCTGGTGTCAAGAAGGGCAGCAAAAAAGACACTTCTCTCCAGTTAAAACATCAGGGACACACTGATATTCTGCAAAAGGTACAGGGATTGGACTGCTGGGGTAAAGTAATTTTCTGTGATGAATACCCTTTCCGATTGTTTGGGGCATTCAGAAAAAAAAATGTCTGGAGAAGAAAAGGTGAGTGCTACCATCAGTCCTGTGTCATGCCAACAGTAAAGCATCCTGAGAGCATTTGTGTGTGGGATTGCTTCTCAACCAAGGGAGTGGGTTCACTCACACAGCCATGAATAAATAATGGTACAAAAACATCCACAGAGAGCAACTTCTCTCAACCATCCATGAACAGTTTGGTGACAAACAATGCCATTTCCAGCATGATGGAGCACCTTAACATAAGGCAAAAGTGATACCTAAGGGCCTTGGGGAACAAAACATCAACATTTTGGGTCCATGGCCAGGAAACTCCCCAGACCTTAATCCCATTGAGAACATGTGGTCATTTCTAAAGAGGTTGGTGAACAAACAAAACACCACAAACTCTGACAAACTCCAAGCATTGATTATGCTAGAATGGGCTGTCATCAGTCAGGATGTGGCCTAGAAGTTGATTGATAGCATGCCAATGCAAATTGCAGAGGTCTTGAACAAGAAGGGCCACCACTTCAAATATTGACTCTTTGTATATACCTTTGACTTTTGCTTTTGACATTTACGAAATGCTTGTAAATATACTTCAGTATACCATAGTAACATCTGACAAAAAGATCTAAAAACACTGAAGCATCAGAC